CTTAAATAATAACTAAAACAGAGATTTAAAGTTTTATTCTAAAACGATTGATAATTATGTACTTAAAACAAGGACGACGGTTTCTATAATCTAAGAGTGTGTTTGATTTGGGGAATGCGAGATTCCCATGGGAATGGAATCAATTTCCCCTGTTTGGTTGGTCTAGAATGTCATTCCCGGTAATCTTACATTACCAATAGTGGATTTTTTTGTGTATATTACCAGGAATGTCATTACCTCTCTTTCCTTAGGTATTGTTGGATTATCGGCGTTTTGGACTAAAATGTCCTTAATTTTTTTTCGAAAATATTTTTATTCTGTCATTCAATAATAAAATTTTTACAAAGGTTAAATTATAAATTTATCCTTAAACTATTTTAGATTTACAAAAAAAAAATCTATAATTAAAATTTCATATGAAGTTCAGGGGTTAAAATAAAATTTTACCCTTTCATTAAACCTTTTTATATTTTCAATTTTGTAATATATATATATATATAAATTTTATGAATTTAATTTTTTTAAAAGAAAATATATAAATATTTTTCAACTTGTAATATTATAAAAATATATAATAATGACAATTTGGTCAAATATACATTCCAATAATTTTTTATTCCTCTAACCAAACACAGTAATCTTACATTCATGCTAAACCAACCAAACACAAAATACAACATTCACAGTAATCTTATTCATTGATAATCTTTTATTTCTACCAGTAATCTTATATTCCGTGAACCAAACGCACCCTAACTGTCTTAGTTCCGGCATCGGTATCTCTATATCTTTTAATGTTTTTAAATCCGCGCGCGCCGTTCAAAACTTTTATGTCTTGTTGGAGAAGAAAAGCGGATTAGAAAGACTTCAAAATACTTTCTAAATTCAATTATAATTTTGATATATATTAATGAAAACATTGATTTATAAAATAAAATCTATAAATATTAGTTTTAATATACACTTTGAAATATAAAATCTTGCTTTTAATCTTAATCATGGTGTCCATAAATGCATATGCAAAACTGAGCTGAAAAAAAAAGAAAGAAGTTTAAAGAAATAATTATTACAAGGGTAAGGAATAATTTCTCAAAGAAAGGCTATGAATGAAAAGAATTTTATAAGTTTGATCTCCTCTTAAATTTTAAATTTACCTCCTTAAACATAAAATCACATGTCTATCCCTATAGGTACGAGACTTCCACTTTGGACTTAGATTTTTTTTAGAAGAAAATATGTATTGAAAGAATTATATTAAATTTCAAATTATTTAATAAATCAGGGGTAAATTCACATTATCAAAGATAAAATACTATTGTTGACTAAATTAGAATTGGAAAGTTATAACCACGGCTGTTGGAATCAGATTAGATAAATTAGTTGGATTTAGAATCAATCAGAAGATTTGTTTGATAGATACAAACAAATTACATGAACCATAATTTGGGTGTGAATTATTATTAGTTTGATAAATTTAGGGTGAATATAAGGTGATATTTGTATTAAATTTATTGATAGAATTTTTAAATATGAAATATTATATTTATTGTATTGTTTTTAACTAAGTCTAAATTGATAGAACGTATAGAATTTTGAGACTAAGGGGCTGTTTGTTTGCCTCTTAATGGAACCATTCAGCGTTGAATGCTGAACGGTTCAGCATTTAGCGCATTTGTTTCGCACCTCTGAATGATTCAGTGTTGACTGATTCAGCAAAACAGTATTGAATGATTCAGTACAGAAGTATATTCTGAATGATTCAGAGTCACTATCAAACAACATATCACATTCAGAGCTAATTCATACAGAGTTTCTAAATCATTCAGCGCTTAATCATTCTAAAATAAACAAACAGCCCCTAAGCTTGTCATTATATCATGCCAGGCGCTTGTTTCATTTAAAATGAAGAACGGACTTGATTGTAATAAAAATTTAATTGAGCGACTTGTTACAAATTTATAAATTATATTATTTGTTTGTAATTTGACTTATAATTGAATGATTGGACCCTTTTATAAAAGGAAACCGAAAAAGACCTCACAAAAACAAATATCAATAACCCATTTGCATTCTTTCAATCTTTGAGATGGTAATAGCAATGACGACACGTAGTGGACAGTTAACTGCATCACTCTCATGATTATTAGTAACTTAATATTCTAGGATAAATTATATCATACATCTCTCGATTATCTTCTTTCTTTTATTTTGATCACTGAAGTTTATTTTTTTTAATTTAATCACTCAATTTTAGACATTATTTTTTATCACTCCACTGTTTTCTCTGTAACTTTATAGTGACGTGTTATTTTTTTTATTAATTTTATAACTGCCACATAAGAAACAAATTAATATTATTTTTTATATCTTTTTCTACTCCACCGTCCATTACTGTGGTTGTCTTCTCCGTTCATCTACAGCAAATAAATCTAAGGGTTGCACCATCAATTTATACTAAAATATAAAGAAAAGACTGATGTAAACAGGAACGGACGTAAGATTTTATACTAAGAGGTGAACGTATAAAATTTTAGAAGGGAGCAAACTAATAAAATTTCAAATGGATGGAAACAAATTATCAATAAAAAATACATCAAAAAATCTAAAATATAAAAGAATTTCAAAATTTCAGCGAACGACTACCTCATCCGCCCCTCAATCCATTCCTGAATGCAAAAGCATTACGAACAAGAAATAAAAATATTATCTTGGTTCATGGCTATCCCCAAACCCATTAAAAAAGAAAGAGAATGATGGTATTCTAAAGTAATTGCATGCCGATGAATTGCAAACAAGAAATGTTGAAATGTTAATATATATATATATATATATATATCACTAAATCTACAATAAAGACGCGCGTAGAGCTTATTACTTCACATTCACACCCCCAATTACTTCATAGCTATATGACTCACGCTTCAGTCGATAATGAATGGTAATGAAGAAACGTATATATATATATATATATATATATAACTCACGGTGTAGTATCAGATCTGATCGGATACAAGTGATTAATTTAAAAAATGAAGAAATGCATGTCTTCTAAAGCTTCTATGACTTATATCAAAAAAAAGTCCTGATAGGTTATTACTTAACATATAAATTGTACAAAATTTATTTTAAATGTATATATTTTAATCTTAAATCCTAAAATTCAAAACCCTAAACTCTATATAAGACACATATCATTAGAACAAACAGGTTTGTGCAAACTAAATTTTACAGTCTGTATAACAAATAATTTTTATGATAGATTTATTATTTGATACGTAAACTCTATACAATTTATTTTTTATAATTCGCATATTTTAGCTCTAAATCATAAACCTAAACCTAAAATCTAAGCCCTAAACTTTAAACCCTACATAACACACGCTATTAAAATAAACAGGCTTATATAAACTTTTTACACAGCCTGTATCACATAATTTTTCCTGAATTATTATTTAATACACATATGCCTATTTTAATCCTAAACTCTAACTTTTAAACTATTAAATTTAAACTTTTAAACTTTATATAAATATACTTGCACAAATTTTATTTTACACCATGTCTATTTAAATATCATTTGTTTTAAATTATAGGATTTAAAATTCAAAATTTTGATGAGTTTTGAATTAAAGATGGAATATAAAATTTAAAATTAAAATAAATAAAATTTATACATTATATACTGAAAAAAATAAGAAACTAATTTCAATAATATATTTTCACTTATCCAACCGTCCTAAATTTGTGTAAAACTAAAAGAGTTTTACACAGTGTAAGTAGATCGTAACTCATATATATATATATATATCAAATAATAATATTTATATATTCAACAAAACTTCTATAAATTAATAATGTTAGGACCACATAGTTTTATTAATTTAAAGAGGTATTAATTAATCTATAAATTAATAATTTATTAATTTAAAGAGATTTTTTCTGATTCAACGAACCTACATTATTCTTCATGATCATGAATAAAACATATATATTGTATTGACTAATTGAATGATGTTTACATACAATGTGACTAATTAAATATAATACATACCCCTAAAAAACAAAGTTCATTGTAATATATAGTACTAGTTAAAACTTAATACAAATTCATGTATGATAAAGATCTAATGAAGAATGATGAAGTAGCATCAATAAATTTAAATGAAGGAACTACTGAAGAACACATTCATGAACTTGATATGACGATTAATAGTTTTGGGTACCGCAACAAAATGGATATCAATCACCTATTGAATTACCCGGGTGAAAATGATACAAGTTCAGGTCCAAAATGTAGATGAAATTGCAACTTGTATTATTGAAATTTCTATTGAGGATGAAACTGAAAATGATACAATATTTTTCCAACCAATTACGCGAAAGAAAATACTAATAGATGCAACAACTCTTTATAATTTTTATTGTAATATGAGAACGTAATGCCGAAACTTTTGACTACAGTGAAGAAAGTTATAGATGAAATACAATTACATTTGAATTTTATATTTTACCAAGTTGTCCTAACTATATTTTTAATTTTACAGAATTATTAATTTATAATATTAAAGGGACCATAAATTTATATAAAAGACTTCCAAAAATTTATTATCTTATTAATTTATTAAAATTATTAATTTAGACCTAGGGCCTAAATTGGGACCGAGAAAAATTATTATTTTAGAGAAGTTGCTAATTTATCGAGTATTAATTTATAAAAGTTGTACTACAAATTTCTTTTTTACTAAAATAAAGTGTCTAAGTGATTTAGTGAAATAAACAAAAGCAAACACCGTTTCAATTAAAAACCGTATAATTTTAAATTATTACAAAGGTATTTATCAATAATTAGTTCAACCAATTAATTTTTTTCATAATTAAATTATACCATAAGTGTGAAAAACCAGCTTCCTTTTTTATTTGCCCTAAACTCCCAGACGAGGCCTGCCAATCTACGCATGGAATTGATTATGATGAGATATTTAGCATATTTTCATCCCTCAAAATTTAGGTGAGATTAATGTTATTGTGTCATCAATCGCAACTAATAAGTACTTCCCCAATTATATATATGTTTATGATTTCAAAACAACAGCTGACAGAAAGCACCTCTTCCCAACAGCCTTGCTGCTTTTCACTTGCCAGCCTCCACCCGCTTCCATACATTCTACCTGTAAATGTTTTCAACAAATCAAAATTCAATCTAAGATACTAATTGCTGAATCTAAATGAATCCCGAGACGAAACGTACATACCAAATCTACAATGTCTTCACCAGCTCTCAGGCCTCCAATAACGTATATCGATCCATCAACAACAGCAGCTGCTGCATATCCCCTCGCCTGGTTAATTGGTTCCCCAATCATCCATGATCCCATACGCATATCGAATATTTCAACGCTTGGAACCATTTCAGTACCATCATAGCCACCAATAGCATATCTATCAAAGGGACATACTTGTTAAAAAAAAAACATGATTCTCACTTCTGTTTTTTAGGATAATTGAGGTCGGTAACCAAGCCCACAGGAATACGGAGATAACACCACAAGTGCTCTTCCAGGAAAGGGAAAATCTTACTTTCAAGGCATAAAGCATAGCCCTGGACATATAATCTCCAGGACAAATGAATCTAATAATATAATGACAATAAATAACTGAAACGACAGCTTACAGATTTTCATTAAAAACAACCAGTGAATGGCAGCCCCTCTTTGTGCTCATGCCTGCAATTTTGGTCCATGAATGCTCTCTGGGATCAAATCTTTCAGCAGACCTGACAAAGTTGGAATTTCAGTCAAATGCCAATTACCGTGGCCAGGGTGAATAAACAACAAACTAGTCCATTACCATACTTCAAGAATGAATCATGTGTGCACGTCTAAATATAACAAAAAATGCAGAAAACCTAATGGGAAAATAACCTCATAACTTACTTCAGGTAATCACTCCCATCATATCCACCAGTCGCATAAATTGCACCATTAAGTTCCACGGCAGCAAGTGCGAATCGCTGTAAAACCAATTTCAGGTTAAAACTTAACAATAATAACTTGAATATATTTTATCCATGTTACAAAAGAATCGCATCATTCAAATTTCAACAATGCTCAAAGCATGAAGCTATAAGGTATACAATGAATAGAAGAGAGAGACATAAGGAGCATAAAATCTAAAGAGAAGCAAAAACTCGAAGAAAGATGACTCCTCACTTCTTTAATTTACTTAACCATATTTACTAACTTAAATGGAAGATAATAATAGAAATTAAAGGGCATCCGTGTATTGAAATTGAAATTTAGTGGTTTGTTTTATACGTTTTCAGTTATTATTGCCTACTAGAAAGAAATCCTTCTAATAAATATCTGATACCTCTCTCAATAACAGTACCAGATTATCTGTTTTCTCTAAGCCATGAAAAATGTGAAAACCAGATTTTTCACAATAAGCAAAAGGAAAAGTCAGCATTACATCCACCTTTTGTAGCATTGAGCGTGTGTTGATCCATCGTCCAACATTTAAGTCAAGCATTTCAACATCTGAAAAGCATTGAATCCCATTACCGCCACCAATGGCAAATATTTTGTCATCCAATGCAGCTCCAGCTAAGCTTCCCTTTGGCTGCTTTAGGGAAGGGCCAGGGGTCCACTGATTACTTGATGGGTTGTATGATTCGACTTGACAAAAACATAAAAGAAACATGAGACTTAAATAAAATTTCCTTAAAAGCACAAACAGGACTTGAGGACTAGATAATACCTGTATCATACCATGAAAAACCATCACCACCACCAAAGACATAGAACTCGCCATTCAGCTGTACAACTGAAGTATATGAACGCACAGAACTCATTGGCTGAACAGATTTTATCACATCATGAGATGGGAAATAAGAATCCAGTGCTGATGACCACAATGCACCATTGTACCCTCCCACTAAAAATATTGACTTGGTAGGATCCAGTTGCAACTCATCAGAGGTATCAATTTCCTTTACATTAATATGCTCCACAGACTGATTGGATAAAGATTCCAAGATCAGGCAACGATCTTTTAGTCGTTGAATTTCCATTTCCGCTGCAACCTGAAAATCCAGATTATAGGTATCATCCATTGCACAGATCAGAATTAAACAAACCGCCTCTACAAGCACATTTTTCTGTTACTGTTACAGATACAAAGTAAACGTAATTTATAAGGATGAAAAAAAAATAAGGGTACATGTGAAAGAAACTGTCATAAAGGTCATAGTTTCAATCAGTATTACACAAAATGCTATAAATAACCACCCATAATAGCAGGAAAAGTTAGTGCCAGAATATAGAAAGCTCAAAGCCAGAGTAATAAGAAGGATTTTTAATGACAATGGTTTGTTCTTTCAGTTGCTTAATATTATAACATTAGTCTTGCAATAAGAAAAGAGAGAAAAGGGGATATGGAGAAAATTGCACCAGTTTTTGCTCCATTTGAATCATCTTCTCACATTGTTCTGTTTTAAATGTCCTCAGTTCTTCCATCCCTTGAATAAACTAGAAAAAAGAAAGATAAATAAATGAGATCAGAACTTTTCCTTTATTTTTTTCTCCAACGAAAGTAAAAGACCAAATCTAACCCTTCCCACTTCTCTATAAATATATTTGAATAATAGAGCTTCCAAATCACCTTAGCTATACTGGATTGACAACTAGATGATGAACAGGCACCATTTTCCTTCTTCTGCACCAAATCCGTTTGCCCCCTTGAGAAAGTCCCATCTTCTAAGCGTGCCTCTTTCATAACCATGGAATCTTCAACATTATCCATCAAAGAAACATCTTGTTCTGTTCGTTTTTGAGCCAGTTCTTGCAGTTTAATCAATATAAATTCTTTCTCGCCATGTGTTGTTGTCTTTGCATCTACATTAGTTTCTAGTGGATCAAAAGGAGTGAAGTCAGTGGCATCTGATTTTCCACTTGACTGACTAAAATGCTCATCTGCTACTTTTGTTTCATCAACGAAAACATCTCTATCCCATTTTGCATTTGTGTGATTAGCATGCTCCACCACAGGAGCAAGTGGCCTAAACCCTTCATCTTCCATCTTTGTACCAGATGAAGGAAGAGGCTGGAAAATATTTCTCCACTTTGCTGCATTGTGAGGCAGATAAGTGCTTGGAGAAACAGCTAAAGATGCCAATAAGGACACCAATTTACTTGTTTGAACATGGTCTAGCTCAAACCAGAAATGATTGCGACAGTAGTAATTGTCTGCAATAATAGGTTTAAACTGTTCTTCAAGCAATGGTTGGCACTGCTGTCGAACACGAATCTGAACCTTATTTCAAAAAACAAAAAGCAAATCAGCAATATATGGAAAATAAAATTAAATAAAATAAAGTAAACCAATAGATCAAACATGAAGGCACTTTCTAGATATATATACTTGTGCAGGATATTGTGTTTTCTCCGAACCATCAGTAGTCCATCCATAGGGGTTAATGTTCATCTGACCATGGCTAGCAGCCTCAAAGATTCCATGTAATTTTCGCTCACTATAGTTGAACAGAAATAATGGCAATCCTGGATCAATGTTCTTCACGTACGAAAAGTGTTGAGCAGGTAATCCTGATAGAGAAAAATCAAGAATTACCGTGGCACCCAAAAAAGTTTCTTTGAGAAAACACAAAGAAAAAGAACATTGTATAAAATAATAATACGAGTGAACTTTCCTAACAAAAGAGGAACTCATTCAATAGGATTGAGAAGGGAAAAGGAAATGGCAACTGAAAAACAAGTGTTGGAAAAATGCAGCTGAATTGAAATGACATACCAAAAAGTTGTTTGAATAGACACTCTTTGTAGGTGGCATTCTTGCACCCGAATATGACACCACCAAGCTGATTCTTCCTCAAATTTCTGGAAACAACAGAAGTGTTGGCCTCATTTGGAGTAAAAGGCACATTCCCATTAGCTATGAAAGTCTGTTGTTTCCTTCCTGCCACCATCCTGTGATCCACATATGAATAAGAAAAGAAAGACTTTTTGATCAGGGATTAGCAATTGTTTCTATCAAACATAAGAAAAATATAAACTTGATTCTATCCTCCAACTGTCACTAATGCAAAACAGTAAGCAAAGTTCACGATATAGCCATATTTTATAAATGCCAATATCAAGGATAAGACAATGTCAGAAACAAATAATCTCAAGCAAGCAGCTAAATGAATTTAAGAAACACTTTATAATCACCATACCAAGGGGGGATGTAAAATCTCTCAATTTTCGCTCTAAGAGACAGCAGCAAAAATCATTATGTGATGTATTATTGGCAGTATAAGAAACACAAAAACCTAAAGAAAACAGCCACAATGAATTCAAGAAACAATTTTTATTCACCATAACGAAAATTCATCAAATACGTTTCTTGAAATTCACACTGAGAAACATCAGCAAAGTCATTATGCGATGAATTATTGACTTCATAAGAAAACACAAGCCTCAAATAAAACAACCATTATGAGTTATGGAATCAAATTTTAATCAATACAATGGAAAAGAAGAAGTAAAATTCCTGAAATTTAAACATCTGCAAATTCATTAAGCAATGGAACTGTTAATAAAGCAATCCATGTAATACATTATTTAATCTGAGAGATTAATCACAACCTAAAGGTGTATTTGACACATGGGAGTTATTGAATACAGAGGAATAGAGTAAAGTGTAACAAACATAACAATATTCAAAATATAATGAAAAGAAACGTAATCCAGTAAATGCAGAACGGTGAAATGATAGATAAGAAAGAACCCATGGAGAAAAAGCAAAAAGAAGATCAATTCCATGGCGATATTCAAACCGATAGATCCAAAAGAGTTGTTACATTGGGAGAAACGCTCAAGAAAACCAAAGAGAAAATGATCGGTGGTCGGAGTTTGGTTTGGTTGCACTTTGCAGAGAAAAGAGAAAGACTTCCTCGACAAGGTCTGTCACTCGCTCATTCACTCAGTCACTCGATCGATCGATCGCTCACTCACTCACTCAGAGTCGCACGAAGCGCGAAAGCAAAACAATGAAAAACCTGTTCTTCCATTGTGCTGTCATTTGCCTTTTTTTTGTAACAAACCTTGATTTGAAATTAATTGAAAAGGAATAGAAGATTGGAGAAAGTTTTCTATTGGGTAAAGTACACAATAGGTCAATAAACTATACTCGAATGATCATATTTTACCTTAAACTTTCATAAATTACAAAATAATCATTAAAGTTTTTGAATGGCTACAAAAAGGTCATTGTAATTAGTCGATTTATTATGAAATGATCATTAAGTTTTATCAAAATTTTATAAAATGACCACCACATTTTTAAATTTTTTATGATTTATTATAACATTGTAGTGATTACTTTGTAATAATTTGATAAACGTAACCAAAATTATAGTTTAAGAATAGTTAAGTGACCTATAATGAACCCTTTATTTTTTTATTATTAGCAGTAGTAGGTTAAATTGTATATATAGTCCCTAGATTATACATGTTTGACAGATTTACTCATCTACTATAATTTGATGATTGTTGATCCTTTAATTTTATAGTGTGCTTTTAGGGTTTAAGGTCAAATAATTGAACAGTTATTTTGCACATTTACGAAAATTAAAAGAAAGGAGAATAAAGTATAATATTTGTCAAAATGAAAAATAAAATTCCAAAGGATGCAGTCGCCTTTATCTTTCCTTTTGAGTTTTTTTAGTCGATTGTTGTACTAATTTTAATATTAATTGTCGATCATTGGTGGTTATTATTTTTTATATTATGTTATTTGTTTTTTTTTATATTTTTAATTTTAAATAATATTTTTTTATCATTGTGATACATTTTTTCTTTGTTCTAACACGTTTTTTCAATGCTCTTATGACACTTTTATTATAGCTTTTGGTAAGTTTTTCGCATACATTTTTTATTTTTGGTTTTCGCACAAATACTCTCTTTATATTTATTTTTTGATTGATTTGTCAGTAGTCACGTATAGTTAGATAATTTCTTTAGTAAAATGTCATTTGTTGATATAATCAAAATTGTGTAGCGAAGCAGCCTGTTAGATAATTTGTTTTGCTCACTACTACTTTATCACTTCATAAAGTGTCTCGTTAGATAGAGACAATGAGTTTCTATGAAGGTTATTAGGTTTTTTTTTTATGTTAGATATCATTTTCAATGAAATGTTTTGTTTTTCTTCGAATCTTTAGATTTGGTATTTTTTATTTTTATTTGAGTTTTGCGATGAGTATTGTCTCATTTTTTCTATGCTTGGTGCATTGTAATTTTGATTATGTTATTTTTATTCATGAAAATTAGTTATTATTGTTAAAAAAATTCCAATAGCATGTTTAAAAAATATATATCACATCAAACTATTTGATAAAATTAAAATATCATTTTTGAAATTAAAAATATACATTTTGAAAATTAAGACTAATAATAACCATAATATAATAGTCGGATCTGTCACAAGCTCATAATATATATATATATATATATATATATATATATATAATTGGAATAGAATCCAATTATATAGTATAGAAGTTTTAGTTTTACATATATTTAAATTGTTAAATGGATGGAAATAAACGGTTAAGATTACAACAATAAATTAGAAGATATTCATTAAAAAAGAGTTAATATCAGCCTTTTATTTTTACTCATCAAACGGTCCTAAATCTATGTAAAATCAAAGGAAAGTTTACACTATATAAGTGAATCCTAACTGCATATATACAAATAGGATTTTATTACACAATGTAGAACTCTTTTAGTTTTACACAAATTTAGGACTGCTAAATTAGTGAAAATAAATGGTTAGGATTTAACAGTAAGAAATGAGAAGATATTCACTGGAAAAAAATAAATTAATCTCAGCTATCTATTTTCACTTATCAAACGGTTATAAATTTGTACACAACTAAAAGAGTTTTACATTGTGTAAGTAGATCCTAACCAGGGGATGCAGTTGGTCCCATGGGGTGAATTGCATACCCATTATTTTAGATAAATTATTAAATATAGTAAGGAAATTAAAAAAAGTAAGAAATTTTATATACCCATTTTATTAAAAGAAAATAATAATAAATTTTTTGGATCTCATTTTAATTTTTAGATATACCACTCTACCTAATTTGTCTTAATTTAAGTTAACTTTTTTGTAAATAGAAATGAAATATGATATGATTAGTTGAAAATTATGTTTATGTAACTTTGTTTTCTTCTTATAATAATGATAAGAAGTAAAGAAGATTTTCAATTAAAACCATTGAAAAAGGCATGCCAGTGCAGTGCAGTGTAAATGAGTTCAGGCCCATGATTCCAGTTAAGACAACAAAACAGGCTATCATGTCTGAGCCTGTAATGTATTAATGGTCTAACAGCAACTCTTCCTCCAACTCATTATCCTTTGGGTAAACTAACAATATACTTGGCCTTTTGAGAAACGTTGAAAATCATTGGTAGGACCGAGCGAGTATTTCTGAATTCTGATTTCGGTTTAATTTAAAAAAGTATAAAATTAAACTTTATCTTGAATTTTAAGTACATAAAAATTATTTTTATTATATTATGTTTTTTTAGGAAGACACGGGTTTCAACATATTTAAGAATTTAATATTCTCCAATTTGAAGATTGAAGTATGAACAATTAGGTATCATATTTAAAAAAAAAAACTATATAATGAATTTTATGTCGCATATATATTTACATACTCATGTGAAGATCCATTTTTCACTTTTGGTAGATTCATCCTTAATACCAAACTAACAATGATTCATCCTTGATCGGATTCTCCTTAATACCAAACTAACAAAGATTCCTCATAAATCTCAATAATTATCTAATAAAATTCTCCTTAATATCAGGCATACAATGATTCTAAAAGATATTCAAAATGAAGGGCAATTGAAAGTGTTGAGGTTTGATTTGAAGTAACAATAATTGGATTGGATTCCTTTCCTCCCTAAAAGTGTTGACTGCGCTTTTGGTAGATTCTTCTCCGATTAAATTCTCCTTAATACCAAGCTAACATGTATTCTCAATAATTATCCAATCAATTTCCTCTTAGTATCAAGCTAATAACAATGATTCTAACAATAATTCAAATGGAAGAATCACTGAAAGTGGTCCTCATCTGATAGTATACCATCGATCTAGTAGTTTTGGCGTCTTTGCTTTACATACTTATGAAACAACCTCGTATTTCTATCGCTGTTTTTAGCCAATTAATGAAACACGTTGGTCCCAATATAGTTCTTTTCTGTCTAGTTCTGGTGGAATATTTGAGCTTCTCCCATGAAAATCAAAGTGAGGGAATGATCATGGAAAAAATTCGATGGTTCCTTTCTCCCGTAGCCATCTGCTTTGCGATGGTACCGCTCTTCTGGAGGGAAGCATCTCATTCTATCGGAAGATCTTCGTTGTCATCGTTCAGACGAACACGACAAAAGTTCTGTCCATGACTAAGTCTACCACATAGCAAAAAGAAGAGGGTCAATTTTACGTATTCAAACCTCACATAATGGTGCTTACCATTAGACAATAAAGAGTTTATTCCTACGCGAACTCTAACTTCCATTATGTGTTTGTAGCTGAGGGAGATGGAAGTCGAATCATACTCGATAAAAGTAGCATTGAAGTCTCCCAGTATCTTTTCCATTTTCTCCGACACAAGTCCTGTTGGTTATATATATATATAATAATGCAAAGAGATTAATTTTATTTGAATTTTAAATTTTAAATTTTAAAATCAATGGTTGAGATAATGGAGTTGAGATTTTGAAAGATTTTTTTATGATTTTTCTCCTTACGTTCTTACCTAAATACACTTGATTTTTAGCTATAAAATGAGGTCTCCATTTTCAAATCACTCATTTATTCATTCTCCTCTCTTCTTCAATATTTCTCTCTTCATAAGCATAGTGAATTTTTTCCTTTTCGATGGCCTTTAATATTTTTTATGCTAGTAGTCTTTATTCCGGATAAAATATTTTTCTTTCCTCCAAAAAGAGTAACACTATTCAGAGTAGGGATGGCAAACGAGTATAGTTTCGTGGATTCCGCACCGCACCCACTCCAATTGGGGCGGGGATGGGTATAATTTTAGCGGGTAGTGGGCGGGTGTGGATTTAGAAAATGATACCCGTCGCGGGTAGTGGGCGGGTAATTGGTTTGAGACATTACCCGCCCCGCATCCGCCCGCCCCACATCCTACCGCCCAGCTAAATATCTGCCCGCCCGCCCACTTTCTATTATATATGTAGGTAGTAGTGAATTTAAATTGGAGCACTATTAATTGGAGGAAATAGAGATTGATGATTGTAATACTGAAGTATCATATGTCATAAATATTGCCTGAAATTTTAGAATGTTGTGCCAAAGAACAAAAACATTATGTGTTTGTCATTTATGTTTCTAAACTTTAATTATGTCTTTTATTATGGTGTTTTTTGTACTTTAAGATCTATATTAACACTTAACTCAGATAATCCTTAGATTATTTTATTATGTTTCTTAGTGGACGTTTTTTTATGTTTGTTGCTTATATATAACTTAAGTTTGCTTTCAGGCGGGTCTAGACGGGTACGTCACTAATGGGTAGTGGGTGTGGGGATGGATTTGAGAATGTACCCGTGTGGGCGGGTGTGGATTTGAAAATTTGTATCCATCATGGGTGGTGGGCGGGTGGTGGATTGAAAAATATTAGGTGGGTATGGGGATGGGGAGAGGGTATCCGCACCCGACCCGCCCGTTTGCCATCCCTAATTCAGAGTTCCACTTCCTTATTTCGAGTGTACGAAATTCGGAAGACTGTGTTAACTTTAGGGGCAACGTCCATTTTATCGATTATACTAGTCCGGACGAAATTTCTTATAAGGCAGTGACTACGCAGCACATTAAAATTACTTGGTCTTTATTTATTTATCTTATTTATTTTTCCGGTCAATACTAATCTTTCATTTTGCTGTAAGCTATATTTCCAACAAATCCAAGGGAACCTCATGTATGATAACTCAATAATCCACGTAAAGTAGCGGAACAAGCTTAGGGTCTTCTCCCTCCTTTAAGAGAAAA